ATGCGTTCCATTAACAATTTATTCGTTCATTTTCATGTTNTGGAACGTTTTTCAGGAGGTATAAGGATACTGCCCGATAGATTGATGTTTCTAGATGACGTAGTGAACTTTGAAATATTTATTCAATATGAATAAAAAATAATACGAGTAAACTAGTAAGGTACGAACATGTTCTATTGCGGAACACCGTTTTCGCACCGTGTTCCCAAGTTCCACAAATCGGAACAATACAAAAATTGAAATGCCTACACAATATGCGACAGTACGTTCTTGCTTATGAACACTTGATCTCGATTAAACATTCTTTTTACAGTATTTATGCGAGTAAAATTATAAAGAACAATATTCAAAAATATGAGTAGAACTTTTACATACGCTTTCATGTGCTCTATCCATTTGCTATTGTATTGTTTGCGCTACTGTTTCAGATAGGGGTCACGACTGAACGGTGTTTTCTAATAAGTACTTTTACCTTAATAAAAAGTTAAAAAAGAACATTTTAGTCGTTTCACGGTAAACCTGTTCCTTTAACGTTAAACAAAAGTTCGAGTTGCTTGATCCATTAAAAAAAAAAAATAATTGCGTTTTAAAGCAGTTCGAATACTTTCTGCGAGGGATTATACAATAAATTATACAAAAATTTAATAATTAATTATACAAAAAAAATAATAATTGCGTTTTAAAGCAGTTCGAATACTTTCTGCGAGGGATTATACAATGCAGACAGGTATTACAATTATTTAAGTTTCTTTTCTCACCGTAATAAGCGCTGTGATCTATTCTCATACTCCGATGGTAAACGAGCCAAATAAACGGTAACGCGTCCCACGAAATCGGACCACGAAAATCCACTTGATATTTGGTATATTTTCGCAACCACGTCCGCAGCAGGATCAATTATTCGACTCGTATCGACGATTGGGAATCAAATTCGGCCGCTACCTTACCGATGAATATCGCGGACGCTTCACCGAGTCGTAGGAGATAGCAGCACTCTACGAGGATAAAGGAATCACGGTTGATTGTAATTAAGCGGTCGCGTGTACGTACTCGAAACGAAAGGAAGGCGAGAAGGATTCGCGAACCGTCGATAAATTCGCTGATTGAAAATCAGTGAGACGTCCCGTGGCGATCGTTCGCCGGATGAATTTCAGCTATTCTCCGGATCGATATCCTTTTTGCCTTTTCGGAGCGAAGAAAATCGACGATACGCGGCGCATACAGCTGAAACCGGAAAAACCAGAATACCTACGCGCGATCATGGAATTCCTTTTACGACGCCGTTTTACACCGTTGCAAGGACAAAACGAAGTTTTTATAGTTCAATTCGGAACGCCGTGCCGATAACTTTTACGGTTTTCAAATGTTCCTACGGGGCTTCTCCACTTATTTTTTTCCATGATTCTGTAGGCGTCGATTTAACAAACTGACCGTATCCCTCGCAATCCACCTATTTCACTCTGATATCGCAGTGATAAATCGATATATTTTGTTAACGAGTTCCCATTTTCAAAATATTAGCAGTAGCGGTCATACTGTAAACATACTGTAAATACTGTAAACTGTACAAAATG